CCATTTTGTGTCCGAATTCTGAGTGAACGACATCATTCCCTACATTCATTCACTACTTTTACCCACAATCCTCTCTGAATTCGAGTGTACATTCGATGTACACTTGCTGAAGCACTATTTCCCACAATCCAATGCGGAGAGAACTGAGAGAGCAAGTTTAAACCAGAGATTACATTACAGCTTTCTTATTCCTGATTTAACATTTATTTCATGCTAGTTTTATTTTTCTATTAATCATTACTTGAATAGAACATATTAAAACATTGAGACAATATTATATAGATGAATTGTAAAATTAAATTAAATTATATTTATATCGTTTTTTTAATTAAAATATATTATTTAGTTTTAATTAAAATAAATTATTTATTACAATTTAATGTGTTTTACTAATGTGTTTTGATAATTTATGGCATTGTTGTTAACTCGTTAAACTGTAAAGGGAGAGATGATTTTTTGGTGGATGATTTGAAAAATCTCCGTTTATCATCTGTAGGAAGCGTATTCATTCGAATATAATAACGGTCGCCTGAGGACTCTCGACCACCACGTCATCTGTGAGCGTGAGAGTTACAATTTCAGTTGATGAAACTACAAAGCTGGCACGGAGGTATATACAATTACAAAATAAAGTCATTATGATTGTGATTGTTGTTAATATTATTTTATAAAGTAAGTAACATAAGATAAAAGGAGTTTTATCAGTACGTGTGACGAAGCCTTTTCTGCGACAGCTCCAACTCTCTGACGCACAGTGTAAACGTCAGTGTCCGAATTCACTCACTTCATTTCGTTCACTCCTTGCAGATATAGTGCACTCAAATGCCATACACTATATAGGGATTAGTGAACGAGTGAGCGGTTTCGGACACAGCTTGGGAGTTTTTTTTTTTTCCTGGTTCGGTTAAGACAGACCTCATAATCAAACCCCTATGGAGCAGTATCAGACTCACATTCTGACTAGAATATGAGTATGACGACGTCAGGCTAGGTTATCGGCTTTCAAATATAAAGAATTATCGGGTATCGATATCGACCAAAATTTTCATATCGGTGCATTCCTAATTTCAACAATGTCTCAAACTGTGCTCAGATTTGCCATAATAAGTAATAATAAAAAATATATATTATTTCATAATATACAGTAGAGGGAGTGATCATTTCATTCATTTCATTTTGGCTCCTGCGATGGGTGGGGGGGCGTCCCATCCCTGTGCGTTGAGCCGACCAGATGAACCAGTTGTTTCCAGTGCTGACGGTCTTGTGCCAGCTGCTCTGCATCCTCCACAGCAACTCCATGTTGTTGGAGGTCGCTCGCAAGGACGTCGAGCCATCGGGTGCGGGGTTTACCTCGTGGTCGTCTCCAGCCTGCGGCCCTCGGATCAAACTGGAGAATGGCTCTCGTCGGATGGTCAGGAGGGAGACGGAGGACATGGCCGAGCCAGCGGGTGCGATGTTGCGCAGCCAGGCAGGATGCTCTGGACTGGCACGTGCGGGCTCTAAGCACTTGATTGGAAACCCGCTGGGGCCACCTGATGTTCTCGATGGTCCTGAGGGCCCTGCTATCAAAGCCATCTAATCTCGCAGTCAGTGTCTTATTTAAGGGCCAAGTCTCCGAGCCATAAAGCAGGATGGAGAGTACTGCCGAGTTGTAAATCCGGAGCTTCGTCTTGCGTGAGATGGTCTGATGCCGCCAGAGTGGTTTCCAGAGAGACTGCAGGGCTGACGCAGCCAGGGCTCTTCTGCGGGTAATCTCTGGTTTTAGCTCCCCGTTGTCTGTCACTAAGGATCCCAGATACACAAAGCTCTTGACAGGCTCTACAATGTGATTGCCAAGCCGCAGGGAAGTTGGATGAGGTCCGTCACCGACATACATGAACTTGGTTTTTGTCCAGCTCACCTGAAGGCCAAGCTTCTCAGCCTCTTCGCTGTATATGCCCAGAGCATCTCTCAGCTGGTTGTAGGACGTGCTGAGCAGGATGGTGTCGTCAGCATACTCCAGGTCAGTCAGGTGGTAACTGCCGAAGGGAGTGATGCATTAAGGAAATGTGTGCTTCATAATATCATGAAGACAAGGCTATATTAATTACATTAATGTCTGGTCCTTGTGTAAATACTCTTTATTTAAAAACTAGTTTTTTACACTTCAAGCATTTTTCGTGAGATATAGCCTATAAAATGTACTGTACGCATGTACGCGTGCATTCGTTTGACCAACACACTGAACATCCAAATGCACCCACCCATTGAACCCGCCTGCCCACATAAAAGCCTGTCAGCAGAGAGCCATTTATTCCGAGTAGCTATATTGAAAAGAAACTGACAGACACGGTGTGCGAGAAACTGTGAAGCATAATTACACAAACACCCTCGTTCTCTTTTCCTCGGTCACCTCTGGTTTCTCTCCTGAACCCTGTTGGATCCACTTTGAGTGAGCAATTCTCTGCTTGTGGATGTCTTCTTTACACGCTTGTCTCTGAAAAGCTATATTTTCTTGTAAACAGTATATTTTCAAAAGTCTTACTCAGAGACTTGTTAAAAGGATAGTTCACCCAAAAATGTAAATTGTCTAAATCTACTCACCCTCGAATTGTTCCAAACTTGTGAGTTTTTCTTCTGTTGAACACAAAAGAAGATATTTTGAAGACTGTTGGTAACCAGACAGTTGACGGACCCCATTGTACGTTTTTTTTCCTACTAAGGAAGTCAATGGCTATCGTCAACTGTCTGGTTACCCACAGTCTTCAAAATATCTTCTTTTGTGTTCAACAGAAGAAAGAAACTCATACTCATATGTGCATTATAGACCTCCCTGTGTCTGACCACAGGACAAATAAGAGTGTGTGGGAGCTTTTATTATCTTCAGCTGCTTTTATGGCCACACAGATCAGGCGGTGAGCAGATGGCAGAAAATGAGATTGCGGATCCTCTTCTCTGACTGGTTTGATTTGGTCTACTGAATGTCCACAGGTAGACATTAAGACTTATGGGGCAGAAAGAAAACTTTCCAAATTTGCGTAGTAAAACAAGTAGGCCGTTAATGGCTATGTATACAGGTATACTAAGTTTGAGGGAGAAAGTTCATTTGAACTTTCATTCAAAGACAAAAGCATGTAGATTATCCTCAGAATGGTGTAGTTATGGCACCTACCTAAATCTAACATGCTAAAAAAAGTTGAGATGCAAAGCCACCAAAACCATTTATATTGACATTTACATTAACTACTGAATTTCCTATATGTATTAATACTGTGTTACAAAATTAGTAGTAATTGTAATCTAACCCCACTAAAAAATTAATTTGCAATTAAATAATGAATAAATATTACAATAGAAAATGCTAAAAAATATATATTACAAATAAAAAACTATTTGCACTAGTGGATTCAGACTTTAGACCACTGTTAATATCAATTACCAAGAAATCCACCCACTAAACAAAGCATTAAAATGACAAATAAATAAATAACGTATTAGATGTTAAAGCTCCAGTCTGTAACTTTTTTGGGTTCAAAATTATCCAAAATAAATTTGTGCAAGTACATAACCAGCCAGTGTTCAAAACTATCTGCTTGCCTTAGTTCAATTCAAAGCGGTAAGCTTGTAATAATGTTTTTAACTCCAGTGGTACTGGTGGATTTCCGCAGGAAATTCGAGCATGTCTTTGCGTCATTACGTCACATCTGTACACATAAAGAAGAGTCTCGGCTAGTATAAGCTATATTGCGTGTGAGGATGTTGGAGGTGGAGATTTATAGCCTTTTTTCACAGCACTTGATATAATTAAACTTATCAATTTGATGGCGGATCCAGAAAAGTTCAAACGACAATCAACAGTGACAACTGGAGATTCACCCGTTGTAAAATGCAAAAGACTAGTGGCAACAGAAAAAAAGAGACTGCAATCAGAGCATGCGAAAACAAGGATACACATCGGAAGGCTATGAAATGTAGTCACGCAATGCTGACGTTGTTAACCTTTACAATTTGTGATCAAAGTATAATTTGCACAGTTTGACGTGATATGATAAACGATCGTTAGATTTAATCAGCGCGATTTACTGCAATGCTTTTTTTCCCTTAGTTGGACAGAACAAATGTCACGTGGATGTTACTTACTTGTTCAGATGACATTTTACGGTGAAAAATCATATGTTGCTCATACTTCCAAAAATAATAATCTGTGATTCCAAAGACAGTATCCACACCGGCGCGGTGACTGACAGCTGCACATTCTCCTCAAACATTGGATTCATTCCCTGTGCCGTGCCGAGACACAACCCACGTAAAGTTGATTATTCCGTGAATAACTGCAATTGCAGATTTTGAACAGAGATGGCGACAAAGAGGAAAAACTGCGGACTGCAGCTTTAAATAAATAATACTAAAAACATCTGTAGCATTAAATCAATTGCAAACGGTTCTTAAAACACCAAAGTCTTTGTGATCAAAGTGCACTCAAAATTTCATCAACGGCCTTTCAAAAACTCAACAAGTCAATAAATAATCAACTAATTCAACATATATGCAAATACAAGACAATATTTTAAAAGAGTTGGCTTCTCCAGCTCAAACATAAGCACTTCACAGGGGAATCAGACACCAGCAGACATAAAAAAATGAATCAAACTCACTCAGATGCTATTTTGGGTTAGTTTTTGTACTGTATAATCCACACTGGAATAAAATTGTGCTAGTTTGTTTGGTGTACCAAACTCTCTGTTTGTTCTCACAGACTGCCACTTGATTAATTGGTTCATTTGATTGGCTGGCTGTCTTAAAGGGCCAGTATCCCCTGTCTGTCAAAGCCCTGTCTTAAAGAGGCAGTGCATGATTATGCCAAACTGTTTCATGTAGAGCACTTTCTCCAAACACACCTCCACACACACACACATTTGTGTTATAAAATAAATAATTCATAGTCTTTATACAGAAATAATTTGTATTTAACAATAACTGTAAAATGAAAAACATGTAAAAAAAAATGTAACGAAAACATTTTTTGTGGATATCCACTTATCTTAAGTGCTTCATGTATATCATACAGTATAAATATTACAGTAATCAAAATGTGTACAGTGCAAATATACGAATACAACTGATCATAGGAAAAAAAAATATGATTACCCTGTTTTGAAATAATTTGATTATATATAGTAAATGGTTTAAAAACAAACATATTCATAACCAAAATGTGCAGCAAGTAGACAGAGGTTATACACTTTCAATTTACAATTTCAATAACAATAATGGCTCAGTTAAACATTGAGGTTTTTCCGTGTCCTCATTTGAACACCATGCACTTTTGGCTTTTGTTGGCTCCTCAGCCCTTACAAAGTTCATGCATTAAAATTCTCACTTTATACATGATTATTGTATCATTGGAAACCACGTTGATTCCATGACAAGGCATTATTGAGAGCTACAGGACACCAACTTGTTGTAGGGTACAGAAGACAGTGGACTGTCCTGAACCTGAAAAACAGATTACAACAGAACAACATTAGCTTAAACCATCTTAAATGCATCATTAACAATGTCTATGACACATTTTTAAATGTCATCATAGAATAATAAATTATAAAAGCAAAGGATTAGTTGAAGTTTGCGAAATCTTTGCAGGAATCAAACTTTTACTGTCTCAAAAACAAGTATCCGTTATCTCTTGAGGAAAACATAAAACCTTTTAGCCTGTGAAGAGTTTGGTGATACATATAGACAAATATATTCAGATTAAGCTGATTAATATGTACGAGGAAGTGCTTTTAAACTGCCCGTAAGAGATGTCTGCTCACGAAGTGTGTAAGAATGGATTTATAGCGATAACAGAAAATGCCTGGATGTGTGGGAAGATATCAAACTCACCGTGGTAAGCATATTTTACAGATAAACATATACAAATATTAGCATGAAATTAGATTTCAGGAAGAAATTAGTAGAATATGCTTTTATATCAGTTAAAGTGGCTATATCTAATTTTAACATTACTTCGTGTGGTAATTTGTGTTGAATTAACAAAGGAAAGATGAGTTAGTGCCCGTATTCGTTATCTTTTAGTCATAAATAGCAAATCTATATCCCCAGGGTCTGCATGTAGGTGTATGTGTGAAGGTGTGTGTGCATGACTAACCTGGACGGATCTTCGTCTTTGGTAAAAACTCCTTTTAGTTCAACACTATTCATTTTATTCTCAAACCATCCATAGCTTAGAGTCACCTTCATTGTTAGAGGAAGAGAAACAAACAGGAAGAACAGAAAATTTGTTGTTAGAATTGCATGACTAGTCAGATTTGTTTTTACTAACCATTTCATTTTAGCCCAAAAATCTGTTATCTGTTTTGGCAGATATAATACTAGCATCCAGTTCATTGAGGTAAAATATCAGCATTCTGTTCTTTGAGGTAAAATATTAGCATTCAGTTCTTTGATATAAAATTAGCATCCAGAGGTGAAATATTAGCATTCAGTTGAAAAATTAGCATCCAGATCTTTGAGGTGAAATATTAGCATTCAATTCTCTTACGAGAGGTTCTCTCGTATTGCGTAAGCTAGCTTACGCTACGGGAAAGATTCATCTTTTCTGAGAATTTGAAGCCAAAAAATTATCCTATAATTTTGTATCCATTGTCAACGCAGTTCAGCTGCAGCAGACCATGAGGGGGCTAGCTAGCAGCTCATTGGTTCGCTCACAGAGAACTGCTTAAGCCTATGAGGAGACGCGAATGAACTCTCGAACCAATGATATTCTGACCCGCTCTCATTGCGTCAGAAACCGCCAAAACGGGCGTGGTCAGAGAGTATAAATAGCGTCCCAGGCTGTAAACTCTGATTTTCATCTCTTCAGCGAGGCTACACGCATCTGCTGATCCTGAGAGAAGCCGCCGTCGTCGAAAAGGCAACTCTAGCGAGCATCTAGGAGACTGAGGAAGCCGGCCGTCTTCGCCACCTTCAGCCGTCCTGCGAGCTAGCGCCATCCGACGGATTTGTATCCTTTTTACAAAAAAGCTTCCTGTTCTTATTTGTATCTAAAAGAGCCGAGCGTCTTTTTAAAGATGTCTCGTAAATCTTCCTGCGGTTCTTGCCGCGCTCCCCTCGAGACTGGAGACCGCCACGTCATCTGCGCTCTCTGCCTCGGATTGGAGCATGCCGAGCTCGCCCTCGCCGATGGCGGCTGCGATCTCTGCGAGGATATGCCGTTGTCGACCCTGCGGACTCGACTTCAGGCCACTAAAGTTGCTTCCGCGCCGCCTCTGACTTCGCCGCAGGAAGAAGAAACGCCGCTCTCAGAGGCCGCCGGAACCCCAGCTAGAAGCGTTCATCCCGCCGGAGCCTGTCGCCTCCCGCTCTCCTTCTCCGCCGCTTCCGGACATACAGTTGCCGCCGAGTGGCCGCTCTGTCGCCTCCGATGACGCCGCGGACATCAAGGAAACCTGTTCGCTTCTCGCTTCAGACAGTCGCTTAGCTTCTCACTTTGCTCCTATCCAAAGCACCCCGCACGTTCACGAAGTGCATGGATGCGGCGCTCGCCCCCCTGCGGAGTCAAGGTCTGCGAATACTGAACTATTTGGACGACTGGCTGATTTTGGCACAATCACAGAGAGAGCTACTGTCTCATCGTACAGTTCTCCTCGACCATCTGAAAGCTTTGGGCCTCTCTGTCAACTGGACAAAGAGCGCACTACAACCCAGTCAGACTATCTCCTTCTTGGGTATAGAGCTAGACTCGGTCACGATGACGGCTCGTCTGTCAACACAGCGCGCGCGCCGTGTTCAGCGTCTCGCCGCATCTTTTCAGATGAACAGACTCACACCTCTGAAAACTTTTCAGAAGGCGTTGGGTTACATGGCCTCAGCCTCCGCAGTGCTCCAGCTGGGGTTACTGCGCATGCGCCCGCTTCAGCTCTGGTTGAAGAGCTGTGTGTCTCACCGTGCGTGGACCATGGGCCGCCAGCTGATAAAAGTAACGCAGACCTGTATCACAGCTCTGCAGCAATGGACTGTGGCAGAATGGTTTCAGCGGGGCATTTCCATGGGGACCTTTTCTCGCCGAAAAGTCATCTCGACAGACGCATCCAACACGGGTTAGGGTGCGGTCTGCGAGGGCTCACCGGCCTTCGGCCCCTGGTCAGCTCAGGAGAGCCTCCTCCACATAAACTGTTTGGAGATGCTTGCGGTCGAGAACGCGCTCACGCGCTTTCTTCCGCGTATTCACGGTCACCACGTGCTGATCCGTTCGGACAATATAGCTGTGGTCTCCTATCTAAACCGTCAGGGCGGAGTCAGATCCAGGAATCTCTTCCGGCTGACAGAACGCATCTTAGTTTTGTCTCAGTGTCACCTGCTCTCGCTCAGAGCGACGCACGTGCCGGGTCATCTGAACGACGGTCCAGACAGTCTGTCCAGGAACCCCATTCCCCCCGGGGAATGGTCCCTGCACACTCTTACAGTCCAAAAGCTGTGGCTAATATTCGGCAGAGCAGAGGTGGACCTCTTCGCCTCAGAAGAGAACACCCACTGCCCAATATTTTTTTTAAAGAGCGAGGACGCGCTAGCCCAGACCTGGCCCAGCCGCCTGCTTTATGCATTCCCTCCGGTTTCTCTGCTACCACAGGTGCTTCAGAGAATCAGGGAAACACGCCACTCGGTGCTCCTCATAGCCCCGCGTTGGGAGGGTCAGACTTGGTTTCCGGAGCTCACTCAGCTGTCACAGACAGCCCCGTGGCCCATTCCAATCAGAGCAGATCTCCTCTCCCAAGCTCGCGGCACGATCTGGCATCCCCACCCAGAGCGCTGGGCGTTACATGTGTGGGTGATCAACAACTACCCGTTGCTTTGCCAGAGGGAGTGTTAAACACGATCATGCAGGCTAGAGCGGCTTCTACTAGAAGGCTCTATGCGTCTAAATGGTCTGTGTTCTCTAAATGGTGCACCGACAGAAACTTGGACCCACGGTTATGCGAGGTTCCTTCCTTGCTAGTTTTTCTCCAAGAGATGTTGAACAAGGGCAGGTCCCCGTCCACTCTCAAGGTGTATGTGGCAGCCGTCGCAGCGTTCGTTGAACCCCGGCGCGGCCAGTCACTGGGCAAAGATGGCTTGGTCATCCGCTTCCTCAGAGGAGCTAGGAGGATGAACCCCCCACGCCCCCCTTCGGTGCCGATTTGGGACCTTTCCATAGTTCTCGAAGCTATGAAAGCCCCTCCATTCGAACCGCTAAACACTATTATAAGTGGTTGCTAGGGTATCCTAGGTGGATTCTAGGTGTTATCTTACTAGCCTAGCTTATTAAGTCAAAAGATACTTAGAAAATCCTAATTTTGTTTGCTTCCGATCATTTCTTCTCAACTAAAATGCATGAACCATCACTCATTTCTGTACCAATACAATAACAATACTTTAATACCTCAATATAAGCAATACTGATAGCCACCACTAAAAAATCAGGTGAAAATTACAGTCATCTCACTTGTTTGGGGATATCACTGGGGGAAATTAGAAGTAGGTTTTCCAGATGAGAGTGAAACATGTTGCTATGGACCATTGAGATGCCCAGTCGCCTCTCAACTATGAATCCCACCGTACAGTCATCAGGTAACATGATTACTGCGGAGGTCTGCTCGAACCTGGGACCACTGCAAATAAAGACAAACATATTCTATATGCATAATATATACACAATACAGTTCATAAGTGTAGGGTCGGTAAGATCTTTCCAATTATTTCTTAATTCAGGCACTAAAATGTGCATAAAATGGTTTCAAAATCAAAGCCAAACACACACGTGCTGAATCAGGGCCTCACCTTGCCCAGGGTGCCATCTTCTCTGCCAGCTTCCTGCTCAGACAGAAACCAGCCCCTCCTGTGGCAAACCAGAAACGCACGTCCCTCTGAAACGGAACAGAGGAAAAAGTCAACCAGTCAGTTTCAACATGCAGTTGGTTACAAATATATAATTTATATGAAGAATTAATGCTACAGTTCATTACAATTTAAGAATCAAGTCCTAAAACATTGATGTGCAGGGTGATTTATGGTCGTTCTGAAGCTCTAGTGATGCAAACGGTCAGTGTGCGATAGTTTACAGCAGTACATGTGGAGACTCGTGAGTAAAAGCCTCACCTAAAGCAGGCATTTAAGCAACAAGAGATGAAAGAGATGAACAAGAGCAGTTATTAAAGCAACTCAGTTTCCTTTAAAAATATTGTGCAAGTGTGCAGAAATGTTCATCACTTGTACATCAATATACACTCACCTCAAGGATTATTAGGAACACCTGTTCAATTTCTCATTAATGCAATTATCTAATCAACCAATCACATGGCAGTTGCTTCAATGCATTTAGGGGTGTGGTCCTGGTCAAGACAATCTCCTGAACTTCAAACTGAATGTCAGAATGGGAAAGAAAGGTGATTTAAGCAATTTTGAGCGTGGCATGGTGGTTGGTGCCAGACGGGCCGGTCTGAGTATTTCACAATCTGCTCAGTTACTGGGATTTTCACGCACAACCATTTCTAGGGTTTAAAAAGAATGGTGTGAAAAGAGAAAAACATCGAGCATGGGGCAGTCCTGTGGGTGAAAATGCCTTGTTGATGCTAGAGGTCAGAGGAGAATGGGCAGACTGATTCAAGCTGATAGAAGAGCAACTTTGACTGAAATAATCACTCGTTACAACCGAGGTATGCAGCAAAGCATTTGTGAAGCCACAACACGCACAACCTTGAGGCGGATGGGCTACAACAGCAGAAGACCCCACCGGGTACCACTCATCTCCACTACAAATAGGAAAAAGAGGCTACAATTTGCAAGAGCTCACCAAAATTGGACAGTTGAAGACTGGAAAAATGTTGCCTGGTCTGATGAGTCTCGATTTCTGTTGAGACATTCAGATGGTAGAGTCAGAATTTGGCGTAAACAGAATGAGAACATGGATCCATCATGCCTTGTTACCACTGTGCAGGCTGGTGGTGGTGGTGGTGTAATGGTGTGGGGGATGTTTTCTTGGTACACTTTAGGCCCCTTAGTGCCAATTGGGCATCGTTTAAATGCAACGGCCTACCTGAGCATTGTTTCTGACCATGTCCATCCCTTTATGGCCACCATGTACCCATCCTCTGATGGCTACTTCCAGCAGGATAATGCACCATGTCACAAAGCTCGAATCATTTCAAATTGGTTTCTTGAACATGACAATGAGTTCACTGTACTAAAATGGCCCCCACAGTCACCAGATCTCAACCCAATAGAGCATCTTTGGGATGTGGTGGAACGGGAGCTTCGTGCCCTGGATGTGCATCCCACAAATCTCCATCAACTGCAAGATGCAAATGTTGCTAATGCTTTCAGCACCTTGTTGAATCAATGCCACGTAGAATTAAGGCAGTTCTGAAGGCGAAAGGGGGTCAAACACAGTATTAGAACGGTGTTCCTAATAATCCTTTAGGTGAGTGTATATATATATATATATAATATATATACAAAATATATACAATAATTAATTTATAATATTAATATTAATATATTAGCCTATATATTGAGTGAAATATTCATTGATTTGCTCATTGATTTGCTCATAAAGATGACCACTTGTTCAGATTCTGAATGATTTTTTTTTGTTAATGAATGATTCATTGAGTAAATAAACACAATGACTCAATGGCTTCATCCAAAATTGCATACTTCCCTACTATATAGTAGGCGAAAAACAGTATGTGACAAAAGAAGAATGTCTGAATTCACAGTTCTCAAAAAAGAGTAGGCAAAAAGTACCCGGGTGACCTACTACTTCCGATGAGATTCTGAAGTGTGCATACGATGGACACTTTACTTTATCATGAGGCCACGGGAGAGGATTTATGAATGACAGTGAAGTGACGCAACTGATGCTGGTAGGTCAGATGATAATGAAAACATGGCGAATGTACTACGTCCAGATTACAATTATACTACACTTTTGAAGTTATTACTTAGGCTATTCAAAATAAGAGAGTATGCCATTTTGGACTCAGCCAATTCCTCATTTTGTTCCTGAATGAATTACCGATTTTTAATTGCTTGAGTTAATGATGCAATGACTCACTCGTGAAGACAACTGTTTAAATAATACCTGAATGAGTCTGTGCTTTAAAATGAATCGCTTGAGTAAATGATTCATTGACTCACTCATAAAGACAGTGATTTGCTGCCACCTAACTGGTGTAAATATGTAAAATACCAAAAGAGTCAAATTCCCACCACTAAATTAGGCCAACACAAACTGAGCACAAACACAGACATGTGGATTGATACGAACATCAGAAAGTGCCGCTCAGCCAATATGAAAACAACTGTTGCACAAAATGCATTTATTTTAATTTCCATTTTAATTTTCCACTTCTTTTCATTCAAGTTTTTTTATTACAAAATCCTATTTGCTGTACCGCCAAGTAGCAATCTAAAATCTTTACATTAATTCAGATGGTTCACCAATTATGTGACCAAATCCCTAATCAAGCAACAAAAATTGCAATGTATCAGCTCTTCAAACCATGAATTTCTCTTTCTCTGTAAGTTCTCAATGCAATCTGCTCTTCATTTCTTGGCTTTCCAGATAATCTTAGCCGGTTTGTTTTCACATGGGGTTCTGTGGAGCATCATAAGCGACAGGGGCATAAATCTGCCTGTATCCATCTCCTTATCCCCCCATCCGTTTATCTCTCCATTCAATCCTCCGTGTGGCCGTTACCCTCAAGGTTCTTTACAGTCCTTTTCTGTCTTCTCATTCGTTCGACCGTATTCCTCCCCTGTAGGGAGTTGTGGCCTGTCCAGCCAGACGTATAAATGTGGACATAAACAACACAGGGGACACACAGAGATGGGGCAGACGGGACGGCCAAGGTTTTTGACCAGAACGAAAGAGCAGTTTAGATTCAATGGAGCTTTGACTGTCCAACTGGGTGTTATATTGAGAAAGAAGTTGAGGAACAAAGCAAAGGAAGCAGGCAAATGGATTTGTAGACAGTAATCCCACAATTAAAAAGAATGTCTAAAATACATATGTTTTTATGGTGGGTATAACTAATAGTTAAGGTGGGTGTAATTATTTGTTTTCTTTTTGTCTTTCATCCCATTGAGCGGAGGTAGAGTCCGGCTGGAGTGGCAGAAATGAAAAGACAGGTCTCATTTTTATTACCCAGGTGCCTATGTGCCCCAAGAAGAGATCAGTAGAGCAGAGAGAGAGAGAGAGAGAGAGAGAGAGAGAGAGAGAGAGAGAGAGAGAGAGAGAGAGAGAGGATTATGAAATCTGAACTAAATGGCTTGTCTGTTCCTGTAGACCTCACACACACACACACACACATACACACAATGGGTTTTCATGATTTATGAGGACATTCTATAGACATAATGATTTTTATACTCTACAAACTGTATATTCTATGCTCTAACCCTATCCCTAAAACCTTTCTGCATTTTTACATTTTCATAAAACATAATTTAGTATGATTTATTAGCTATTTTCCTCATTGGGATTAAAATAGGTCCCTACAAGGACAAGGAGTTCGGATATTGTCATTTTTGTGGGGACATTTTGTCCCCATAACGTAGGGTTTACCAGGATTTACACATTCACACACACACACATACACACACAGAGAGAGAGAAGAAGCAGGTCCAAAGACAGCATGACTACAAACACACACTCAAAATGATTGGCGTTACACATTGTACATGATTGGATCAACTCCCCTGACAGTATTTTTTTCCAACTATACAAAAAAGCTGACAGAATTGTCCAGATAAATAAGCAATAAAGCTCTAATCACTGATTGATCCCTGAAGGGCAAAAATACAATTTGGTAAAGGCTGATCAATAAAAAATAAAAAATTATTATTATCGATAATGGTTCAGAGCAGTGAATTCAGGTTTTTTTTTAAATAAAAAAATGGGATGCTGACCGTCTTATTCCCTTCCAGCAGCTCCTGTGCTCTCATTGGTCGATCCAGGCTTGGCTTGCCCACATAGATATCTCTTTCTCCTGGGAAGGCCGTCAGGAGAGAAAGAAGGGCTCCAGGGTTCAGGTAATTATCATCATCAACATGACAAAACCACCTATGGCAAAATCACAAGTGCTTTAAAAGTTGTATCAAAATCAAACTTGTACTGTTCACGTTGTCTTAGCACGTTGTTTCACTCTCCGATGTGTGTGTGTAGATAGATAGATAGATAGATAGATAGATAGATAGATAGATAGATAGATAGATAGATAGATAGATAGATAGATAGATAGATAGATAGATAGATAGATAGATAGATAGATAGATAGATAGATACCGTAAAACTTCAAATAATAGCCGAGTCCCAAATAGACGCCTGTCTCTTTTACACGCCTGGTGTGGCAGCAGGTTTGGGTAAATAAAGGCCGGTCTCAAATAGAGGCCGGGTCTGTTTTTTAGTTTCGGGTTGTATTTAATCCTCTAAAACCGCCAGATCGCCCGCTTTTTGTCGGCCGCCAAAGTAAATTTTTGTCCCTCCAAAGCCTTTTTTTTGATCGATGTAGAATAGAATGACCGCTTGACAGGGCGCGTTAAGCCTTGTTTATACTCGACGCGTCCGCAAGAGCGCGAAGGTGCGCACGGCAAAATGACGTAATTGCGGTATGGGCGGTCGTGCGCGTTGGGTGCGCAAGACCCCATTTCGCCTGGCGGTGTGCACGGCACTTTTTGTAACATCGCGCGCGGCGCCGCATCCGAAGATGAACGACTTCGAGCCGAATCAGGCCGAACTGTTACGTCTGTACCAGCATGTTTATGATCCTTCTATACACAGAGACATTTGCATTGATGGGCGATCATAAAAGCCTCTCATTTTGTGAATAGGAACACATTTGCATTAAGCACCCAGTTTGCACTTGTCTAAAATAACTGCTTACATTTATAAAATAAGCCTACAATAGCAGAAGTAAGCCCTGCTGATTAAATTAAGGTTTAAACACTCTTCAATAAGGCTTCAGTTGTTTAACGAGTTTGTACAAGAAAGTACAATACACCTACTGCATTTATTACTCTTTTAATATGAATCAGCTATTAATAAACTACTAATAAACGGCAAACTACTTCTTCACTGCTGATTCCTGGTGGTTTAGAGGAGAATTACTCCGAGGCGCCCCCTGTCGTTTCACAGAATAGCACAACGGCGAGCGCGTCAAGTATAAACGCCTCGTCCGTTTGGAGAGGTGCGCGCGCAGTCAGCGGAGACTCGCGCTCGTGCGGACGCGTCGAGTATAAACAAGGCTTTACGAGCAGAGAGAGAGAGAGAGAGCGCCCCGGCCGCGCGCGCGCACTCACGTCTTCAAACAACACGAGCGCTGTCTTGCTCTCTCTCCCTCGCGCATATTAATCAAAATCAATTGACGCGATAGTAAAAGGTCGGAAGACCGCAGTTTCACGTGGAGCATTTGGAGATTTTTAGGGATTAGAGACAGGCCTATACACTCAATGAACAACATCTCAACACTAAATTATAAAGGCCTGTCCCATATAGACGCCTGTCTCAAATACAAGCCGGTGCAGTTCGACGATTTGGGTAAATAAAAGCCCGGGCTACTATTTGAAGTTTTACGGTAGTCTAAATAAAGTTCTGGATAAAAATTTCCCCCTCAGAAGGTCAGAAGTATTTTTTCAAAGTTCAGGAAGTTTCGGGAATGGGACTTGGGTGCTGCGCATGCTGATTGGTTGAGTTCGCGCAGCATTTTGATTGGTTGACTCCACGCAGCATTTTATTTCAACCACCATTTTTAAAGTCTGTCGCGGTGCGTGCAATAAAAGTTGTTTGATATTCGAAACAAAAATGGAGTTTAAAAAATACGACCGATGGACCGACAACGAGGTTCTTTATTGAGCTTATATTCGGAGGAGGAAATCCAGCGGGAACTGGAAAGTCGCACACAGTCCTACGTCAACGGACTAATTTGCCTAATCTTCACGGTAGGGTACGCTCACATATCGCGTCTTTTGCGCGCTCAAGTTCGTTATTTCAAATGTAGGCGCGCAGTATGTGGTGCGGTGCGACGCGCTCATTTTTTTTCCATGCGCGTCCGCGCCGCATCGAGATAAAAACATTTCAACTTTTAGGTCACGTGACAAGAACCAACCGGAGCGCAACCGCCCTAGCGCTTTGGGAAAAGGAGAATGCGGCGCGCCCAGCGCTTTCTACACGTTTTTAGGCGCTATATGTGAATCCGGCCTTACGGTACTGATCCACTTTTGCGACACGACTGAAGCGTGGTGTCGCACCCTCTCCACATTGATGCGCGTTCCTCAAGTTTACCGCTATGGGCGTGGTTTTGACCCAGCGGCCAGTCTAGAACAAAGGCCCCTCGAGAGACTACTTCTATTGGATAGACGCGTCGCGTTTGACGGATTCATTTGCATAAAGCTGGGCATCGGCCAGCTTTTTGACGCGCAGCATTTTTCCAAATGAAGCGCCGCCTTCCCGGGATGCTTTGCGGGCGCGTTAAAGTCGCGTGACGTCACCCATAGGAATAAAGTGGAGTGCGGCGCGACTGAAGTGTCGCACGGACAAGTGGATCAGTACCGTTAGACAGCAAAGGAAACGCAAACAGCAACTGGTCTGGGGGAGGGAGGAGTTCCTGGGACAAATTGTTCCGGGTAGTTTCGGTGGAAATGCGGCTATATAGATACATATGAATCGTAACATAAGGTCATATTCCATTATCGTCCAACTCACTTTTTGTCAGAGGCCATGAAGTGGTGATACTCGGCAGCCATCTTGCAGGATAAAGCTTGATGACTGTGCTCCGGCGAGCAGTTAGTGACGACAACATTAAATCCTGTGAGGACAGAAACACACAACGAGTGAAGAGCAAATATTCAGAAGCTCACACCAATCCTGCAGAAGAACGATGATCTACCTTCAGAGGAAATGTCTTCATCTGGACTGTCTGTGAAGATGTAGGTCTGTAAAAGTAAAGAAGAAACACAAATTAATGAGGCAAACCATAATAATTCTGAAATGGTGCAGTGAGAGTCTAGTGGTCTTTTGGGGACAAGTAACATCCAATCTCCCATCATGCACCAGTGCGAGATAACAGCTGGTGCACCAGGAGGCCTCAGAGCATCTGTGATCAAGGTTTTGTCTCTACAGAGAATATTGGTTTATTATTACCAATGTTTTCTCAAGGTGGGACGACAATGTTGCGAAGAGTTTGTGTTTTTCTGTGAGAGTGTCTAAAAACTACAGCTGAGATAATTGGACTGGCACAAAAACTATTGAGAAACATTATCAACAACAACAACAAAAATAGCACTAAATAATTTAGAAATATGAGGTACGTTTGATCCGTTGTAATATAGTTTGATGAACATTAAATAAACAGTCAGAATAAACTTTTTTTTTTTTCAAAGAAAAGTTGTAAGGCATGTTACAAAATGTAGCACTAAAATGAATATAACATTTTTATTATTTTGAATTAATTATTATTTATTCTTAATTTTATTTATTTAACTATAAATTATATATTTTATTAAATATTGTTTATATTATACATTTCATATTGCAGTTTTCTTTTCACTACAATAGCTTTTAAATTAGATTTTTGGGTTGATTTTTTTTTTTGGAGGGGACATCATCTTCACTTACACAACAACAAATAATTCCAATTATGAATAATGTTAAAAAAAAATTATGTTGTTGTTTAATATGTTTAATATTTTTGTGGAAACTGTAATACATTTTTCAGGATTCTTTGATGAATGTAAATTTTATTTTATTTGAAATACAATTTTTTGTGACATTTTATATATATATATATATATATATATACTGTAACTGTTGCTAAATTTAATTCATCCTTCCTGAATAAAATTATTAATTTCTTTCACGCACAACTAATTTTACTGATGTGGAACATTTTGTGTGCAAGAGGGGTGGAAAACAACAAAATGTTACATTCTTAATTCTTAAATTATATATTTTATTAAATATTACTTTTATATTTTTATATAAAATATATATAATATATAAAAAATATTATTATTATTTTTACAGACTAACATTTTTTGGACATCGCTTTTTTCCCCCTCATTTTCTCATAATTGTGTTCTCTAGAGTGTCAGTTGTTCACTAAATGTTACACAACAATGAATAATTCCATTTAGGAATAATTACAAAAATTGTATTATTATATTATTCAAAACCTAATAATATAACTATTATTAAAATAAGTATTATTAAACATATTCAAAACATGACTTTTATTATGTAGACATCTATGCATCCAAAGCAACTTACAAAAGCAAACAAATATTGTATAAAATAATTCTAAAATTTGATTATATGAGGTAGCCACTGTGATATAGTCTTTAATATAGTTTGATGAAAATTAAATAAACATTCAAATTAAACAATGACAAATGCAGCCAACATTTTAAAGAATGTTACAAAATGTAGAACTAATTAATTTAATTAATGTAACTTTTTTATTTATTTAATTATTAATCAAATATATATATATATATTTTATATTATACATTAAAATGTATTACTATATTATTAGAAATCTAATAATATAATTATTATTATTATTATTATACATATTCAAAACATGACTTTTAATATGTAGATATTTGCATTTATGCATTTAGCAGACGTTTTATCCATTACAGAAAAGGAACAACAGCAATCTGTCAAAGAGTCGTCATATAGGCCTATAGTAAATATATATATTTACAAACTTTTGTTACATGCAATTAATCGCAATTAATCGATTTGACAGCACTAATATATAATATTAGCATTGGAACTTTCCAGTGTCATTTGTAACCACAGAGCCGAAATGATAAAAAAAAAAAGGCTCTCAACCAAGTGAGAAGAGCAGATTTGGGAGCCATTTCCTGTTAGACCAAGGCACATCCTATCTGTGGCCATATTTACCTCTACACTTCCGTTTTGACTCACTCACACACACACACTCTTTATCGCATCCCGTGATGATGCAGTGCAGATGTCACTCTGGAAGTTTAGCTTCATTACGACGTCTGCTCCAGACGGCTCAGATCGTAAGTCTACATGCCTCTCCCTCCGTGGTCCTTGAGTGCTGGCAGAATAATCGAACGCGCAGATCAATGCCGCAGCCATCAAAGCCAATGGGCCAGAGCGAGTGGAAACGGCCCACTCACACCCCGAGCTCCTTCATAAATCATAAGGGTGGATCTTTAGCTCTCATTTCTTCCAAAGTGAGACGGCTGATGACAGCGGCTCATAAAGCACCGTCTGGAGATACACAAAGAGTGAAACGGCAGGACAACTGCCCATTAGTGGCATAATGAAGTGAAACCGGTGGAGGAGGTGCGTACATTTTGTCTTCCCAACTTGAGAGGGAAAGAAGGCATAGATGGAGCCCAGCTTCCCCTCTGTGGATGTAATGGGTGGAGCTAGAATATCCAAGCACAACTCGATCCCTCCACCCATTACATCCACAGAGGTGAAGTAGGATCAAGCTCAACCCATGACGTCCTGGATGTCATTTGGCTCTTTAGTGAGCTCCACCTGCAAATTTAGGAAAGAAATGCCTCATAATGTGATGGACGATAAAAACGAATGCACTTATAGGAAGCCGGGTTGCGTCCAAAACGTTTTTGCTTATAATAGGCTATCAAAGCCTCATATACTACACATTCTGTCACTGAAATTAACAGGAAAAAAAAAACATATTAGTCTGTAAAAGTGCTCAATAACAAAATCTAACAATGTGTTGGGGGGAGGGGGGGTATTTTTTTTTAATTTTCCTGGCATTTGTTAAAAGTGCCAGAGTTGTTGTTTCACACTTCGTTCCTGTTTCCTCAGCTTAAGACTTCCTCTGTCAGATAGACTTCCGTTTTGTCATTGTTTCTAAACGCAGTCTGCGGCTGTCGCTTCCTCTTATTGGCACGGAGGCAAAGGGCACACAAACATACGCACACACTCTCATGAAAACTGAAACGCACATCCTGTGTTTAAAAACCCGCTGTTGGAACCCGAAAACTAAATCGAACAAAGCCCAAATCGTAAGCTTCAAACAGCATAACTCAATCGCCTGGAAAAAGCCCAGCTAACAGGGAATGTTCTCAGAACTTTAGCTGACGCTGTGGCAAGGTTCTCTCAAACTTATGAACAAACGTTCTTCCAGGAACATTAGTAAGACATTCATTCTGGTCTTTAATAATGTTCTCAAAAACATTATTTATACATCGTTCATGGAACGTTTTTTTTTAACCTGAAACGTTTGATTGGATGTTTGCGTAACAGTTATTTCAGAGAACATTCGAAAGTAACGTTTCCATTATGTTTGCAAAATGATCACATGGAATGTTCCCTAAACGTTCGCATAAAACATTTAAAAGAATGTTCAGAAAACATTCAGAAATAACGTTTTTAACTTAATGTTAACATTCTTATGTTACGTTCAAATGTTCACATTTTTCGTAAAATTTAGCAATTTTCACATACAGACGACAATGTTGTCAAAACGTTCACAAAACAACTAAAAACGCTGTATTATTCATGTCAGGCCAGTAGTTGCTGGTGTCGCTTTGTAAAGAAACATTACGCACCTATAGACTGAACGTGTGATACGCATGCACATGACATCACTGTTCGCACCGTTTTCAATAACTTTCACTTTGAATCCCGTTTTCAAAAGTTTGCATTTCCAGGCCCCCAAAAAAACACAGTTGTCGTGTAAATGAACGGCCAAAACGTATTAAAAGTTATATCCATTTTCATCCATTTCCTCATATTCAAAACAGGACCAATAAAGCAGAAGCAGGGGATTTTTTGGAAAGTGTTGCGTTTGAGGGCGAAAAAACCTCAACCTCAACCCCCCTCCAGTTTCAAACTTAATCTGTCAAACGACTGAACGTTTGAGAGTCATTTCTCCCACACAAACACAAACGAATTAGTGTGAGGAATTTCAGCCCCTAGCATTTCACTCACTTTCTCTGTAATCGTACAAGTATTTGGATCAGCAGCGCCGCTATTTCGCACGTGTCATCTTATATTTAGAGTGACGGCTGCTCCTTTGAAAGTGTTACATCCTGAGTTGCATGTTGGGAATTCGTTTTGACAAGCCACTCAGAGATAATGCTCGGCAAGTCCCAATCACTAGCATCTTCCCAAAGTAGAGCTCATGTTGTCAGTGCCTGCCAAACCACGAGTTTGAACGTGTGAATGCATGTGTTAGTACGTCAGTCCGACTTTGTTCTGCTTCTTAATGTCATGTTACAGAAGGCCACAGTCAAGTCTAATCATTTACGGTTTAAACGGGTGTCCATTAAAGGGGACGTTTAAAACTTTTTCGATGTCAGTTTAAAATAAATCTGTGTCAAACTTTGCTTTTTGCCAAGTACCAATAATGACCGATAATTATGTCTGACTTTCACAAAAATAATATAAGGAACCAGGGCTTCACTCATGAACATTTTGTCTCACGTAACATGCATTTAAGTGTCAAGCAAGTCTAAGGAACAGCAAAAAAAAAAAAAAAAATTATATACCAGCCAGGGGTGCGTTTCCCAAAGCCAACTATGGTCGCAAGTTCCGTCGTTACCAATAGAGTTCACTGGAAATTGCGATCATAGTTGGATAACGATGCTTTCAGGAAACGCACTCCCAGTATATCAAACCAGTATATCCTGAAGTGTCAACCAGTCTCTTCCCTGTTTACTGAAGTCAGCCGGATCCGGGCCGTATCCAGATCAGATGGTGGACCTGCACCTGGACCCGTCCATGACACATCCCTGAAGTGCCAGCCTCATCAGCCCTGTGAAGGCCTCATCGACACGACAGCCATCGGCACTGATCCTCAACAAACTCGTCTCCACACCGGCGTGATGACTCCGACTTCCAACCAGATGGAACTGGATTCATATTCTGAATGTTCTGATCCAATCGGACTTCTGACCTGTAATGCTGCCTGGATCATAATCATACACTGTTCGCTCGTTGGCCAGAGGAGAACTGGCCCCCGACTGAGCCTGGGTTCTCCCAAGGTTTTTTCTCCATTCTGTCACCTGATGGAGTTTTGGTTCCTTGCCACTGTTGCCTTGGCTTTTGGCTTGCTAGTTGGGGACATTTAATATTCAACTATATTATTGATCTGCCTTACTTAAGGTGGACGATGACATAATTTTCTTCTAGAAACAAACTTTGTTGTATTATTTTCATGTTATCACTGTGAAGCTGCTTTGATACACTCTATATTGTAAAAAGCGCTATAAATAAAGGTGACTTGACTTGACTATATCCCAAAGCATGAATTTGAATTTAACATGAGCATGATTTTAATAGTATAACTTAAAAATATGATGAGGTTGTTGACAAATAATGGGAAAATCTCACAAAACCAGCCATATTTGAAAACATATTTGGGTAATATTTCAATAAGTATATATATATATATATATATATATATATATATATATATATATATATTATTAAGTATTCTTTTTTTTCAGTATTTTTTGCTTAAATAATCTGAAGCCATTTTTCGGACCATTACATTTTTTTTGTGACATTATTAATCACAAATAAAATAATACTTATTATTTCAAATTAAGTAAATCGTATTTATTTGAATATAAAAGTTGTATTATTAATGATCAAATAATAATTTGTAATATTATTGTTGTTGTTGTTATTGTTGTTATTATGTGATTAATAATGCCACAATGAAATAATCATTTTTATTATCATTATTATTATAAAAATAGGTTACTACTATATTTAATAGAATATAAAAGTTGTATAATTATTTTAAAGTATTAATAAGAAGTAAATTCTATATTTAATTTAATATAAAAGTTGTATTATTAGTCACATAATTACAATTATAAATTGTATTATTGTTGTTGTTGCTGCTGATCTTATGATTGTGTGATTAATAATACAACAACACAGATTATTATTCTTGTTATTATTGGTAGTAGTAGTATTAAAAAAAATAGGTTAATATATTTAATAGAACTTAAAAGTTGTATTATTATTTCATATTAGTATTCTGATTTTAGTATTAGTATTAATATTTTAAAATATTATTTATATATTACTGGCCTATATACAATTTATTTATTTTTAAAAAATGGTCACTGTGCAAAACATTTTAATAAAATTTCCTTTATGCAACACATAATTTTGTACTTTTTTCTTTCGATTTTGTGGTGAAATGCGACCGTGACGTCACAGGCCTTTTGGATGCTATTCACAGAGCGGCTGTGCTGTAACCGCACACTTGGTCTGGTCGTTTAGATCTGTCAAATCAGAGATGGTTTCAGTATCTACAAGCCTTAACCCAGAATCCATCAGTAAACCTCTAAAAAATATCTTAAACAGGCTTTAATTCACTGCCACACCAAATGCTTTGTATTATAAGATATCAGTGGAAGGCACTGAACTTGGCTTCATTCAAATGGACTTTCAGTAAGTGGTCTTCATTACTTTCTCTTTCAAAGGTCACCGCTGTGAGGTCTGCTTCTTGTGACAAAAAAGAGGACCTAAAAGTCCATCTCTACCCTTGGTGACAAGGCTACTGCTGAATTAGAGAACACAGAGAGGAAGTGCTCAGTCTATAAACGAGCACAGGGCGGACGAAACAGGAAATGGCTCAGCTCACTCTGTTTTAATATAGATGCACCAATGTGTGGGCCAATCTTTGCGGCGTGGTGCCAACGTTAATAAATTCGGCTCATTCGTGCTTGTGAAAAATGACTTCAATCACTCTGTTTAGCAATCAAATAGAAGAAAAAAAATGTGGGTTGGAAACATTTCCTAGGTGCCACTTCATATGTTGCCACCGCTCAAGTGAGGTTTTGCACCTGTGCTTTCACCGGGACGTTTGCACACAACCTCTATCTGATGCCACAGGATGTGCACATGTCTGCCAGACGTCCTGTGACATCAACATCAGCATGTTTTGTATGAGTTTGTATCATAAATCATGATTTAGACTAATAAAATGATCAATGAACTATCATAAACATTGACTGGTTGATCAGTATGGGGTTTCTTATATTAAATCCCCTTTATTTTTTTGAGTATATAATAGATCCTAGTCAAGGAGCACTCACGTGGTCTTTAGTCCTGGAGATCCAGGTCTCCAGAAGAAGAGCAAGGCGGGTCTTGTGGAACCGGCCGGTGGTTTTCACTGCAATGAAGATGTCTGTGAGTTTTAAAGATTGTTGTGGCTTCATCTCCCTCCATTTCTGACGTTTCTGTTTCTGATTTTCAAGAACAACGTCTCTGTGTTGGTTTACAGCCACGGTCCTTGATAGAGATGCTGTTCTTTCACGTGCAAAGGGCGCAGTGGGGTTTTGGTCACTCCGGGTGCGCAGCTGCAAATCCAGCAAAACCAGGATGAACAAAGTCAGAGCGAAGACAGGCAGTGGATGTAAAAGCCTCCTCAAGATCATCTTATAAATCCTTAATCCACTTTTGGTCACATATTAAAGTAGTTCAAGTATAAGCTGCGGCATTTGCCCGCATTCACATTGCATGGCGCACAAAAAAAGGTCTGATTTTTAAAAATAGTAATGAAATGAAACAAACAGAGAGTCCATGTGTGGGTTGGAATATGTATTTTAAATTCATTGTTATTCTGTGAAAGTTTGCATCTGGTAATTCCGCGCGGATCCTAGCTGATGCCCCATGCGCCCTGGTAAAGCGGAGGATGGATGAACTGTCACTCATTCACTTTCGGGCTTCGCAAACTTTTTACGCCACGCCCACTTTCCGTGGTGACTGACGCTCCGATGGTGACTGATAAGATAAAGTGTATGGCTGCAAGTGTGCAAATAAACCGAATTTCCTGTTGAAAACTTCTTTTTGAAGCCAAACTTATTCTCTCCTGTGCGGAAGGAGATTAAAAAAAAACTATAACGTTTCTAGTTGGTGCATTATAGAACATAATAAATAACTTTGAATCTATTCAATGACAAAAAAAAAAGAAAAAGTACCAAGAACCGATGTGGAAACAACCAATCAATTTATTTTCAAATGCCTTTTATGTCTTTATTACTGTTATTAACATTTATTTAACCAGGCAAGTCACTTAAGAGCAAGTTCTTATTTTCAACAACAGCCTGTTTTAGTAAATAAAGATATTTAGACAGTAGGCTAATTATAATAGGTTTTAAACTCTGATAAACTCTCTTTCGATATTTATTGTGGAAAAAAAATGTGTACTGATTTTAAACAAATTACAACTGTTTCCTCCTAAAATATTAAAACAAAATGGTGTAAATATGAATATATATAGGCTATATGTGTGTGTGTGTGTGTGTGTGTGTGTGTGTGTGTGTGTGTGTGTGTGTGTGTGTGTGTGTGTGTGTGTGTGTGTGTATATATATATATATATATATGTGTGTATATATGAATATATATATATATATATATATATATATATACATGATATATATCGGTATAAGTATTGGCCAATATAATATGATTCTTTTTAATGTTATCGTTATCGGCCCGATAAGAAAATTTGGAATTTTTTTCCTTCTGCTGAGACATTTCAGATGCACACTGTATGCCATGATGGTTTTGAATTGCTTTAAATATGATTGTAATTTCTTCAAAAATTAAAATACAGTTCAGTGCAAAATGTGCAGTGCAAGTCGTTCATATAGGCAACATAAAATTATAATGAGAACATTAAAAGAATTAAAAGAATAAAGAATTATCGGTTATCGGTATCGGCCAAAATTTTCATATCGGTGCGTCCCTAATATATATAGACAATATACTTAAGACAATTGAAAATGTCAATGTTTGTAATTCGTAGCCAAAATTATGATGACACATGAGGATGTATATTTCTCAAGGCAATATTTTCGGAGAACTCCCTCTGAGGGAGGTTGCCAGCTGTTTATATTTCTGACGGTTCACTGTATGACACTGTAGGCGTTCTGGCTTCTGTCCTGAACTACTTTATCGTTTTACTTTCAACTTGTGCCAGAGAACTGCGTTATCCTAACTGTTATCCTAAGCACCACTTGTCAAGTAGTCAAGTATACATGCATTTGGAACGTTTATTGTGTTCAAACACTTTTTTGTAATGTTCTGGCTTATACTTTTCCTCAGGTCAAGGGGGATTGAGGATGACATGATCAAAAACCTCTGCAGTGACCTTCATCAGCACCTTTGTTTGTAATTTCTCAGCCTTCTCCTCTTTCATCCATTCATCCTTTGCAACCAGTAACCAGCTGCCTCCTTTTCTCCGTCCCCCCCTCCCTCGGTGGCCCCATGCACGGTCGTCTGGTCCCTCAGGTAAATCAGAGATGCCCAGGCACACCCTGGCCAGGAAAGGCCCAGGATCGGTTTACGGCCTACCTGAAAAGATCCTTTTAAAACAGCAAGTACATTGCTCCCTACTTTGAACAATGGCAGACCTTTTCAGACTCTTTATGCATTGAAAAGCCATTTACGTGCCTCTTGACTTGCTGTTCTGAATGCGAGATTCATTGTTGATGCAGTGTTTTGTGCAGACAACAGAGTGTTAGACAGAGCAGACAAAACAGGCAGCAAAAATGCCTCAGATCCTTTAAAAAAGCACAAAAGCCTCAGATCCTTCAAACTGAAGTTTACAAACAAACACCAGTGTCTCCAAACGGCAGGTGTGTGGGTTACCATCAACAATCTGAAGACAAAAAGTGTAAAAGAGGCTTAACTACACTGTTTATGTTGTTTATGAGACAGATCAACAGTCAAAACTAAAAACACATGCTCCACCTGAAAACAGATAAAACCTTTTCAAGTTTAGTTAGGCGTTCCTTAGTTTTATTTAAAGAAAAAAAATCGGATTTTATGTGAGAAAATTAGTAGCTGATGAAAAACTTTTTTTTTCTAATATTTGAAAATTATTTTATATTGAATATTTTATATCCATGAGTCAAAGTACAGAAGAGGATTAGGGCCAAGCAATAATAAAAAAATAAAACCATCTCGAGATTAAAGTCATTATAATGCGAAATTAAACTCGTTAAATTTCGAGAAAAAAGTCTAAATACAATCTTGAGAATAAACTCATTAAATATCGAGAATAAAGTCGTTGTGTTTTGAGAAAAAAAACTCGTTAAATTTCGAGAAAAAAGTCGAAATACAATCTTGAGAATAAACTCATTAAATATCGAGAATAAAGTCGTTGTGTTTCGAGAAAATACGTTGAAATGAAATGTAGAGAATAACGCCTTCGAAAGATTTTTTGAAACTTTCTTTTTATATTTTATTGTTTTGTTCACTTTAAAAAAAAAAAATACAAATATTCCAAACAGCCTCTCAATTATTTGCATTATTTCCCATTCAGCCCTAGCCTGGATGCCAGCCCGAACCCCGCCCACAACATTTTTTGGTCTGGAAGTTCGGTCTGGACTCGATCCATTGAGGAGTAATTATGATCGGTTCAGAAATCGTCGGGCCAATCAAATTGCCAGGGCGGGCTTTATACGATGATGGACAGATGATCTGCAGGGACGTAATCCTCACGTTATCAAAGAGCGCTTGGGTTGAACTGGTTTCCCTCAAAGATGACTGCAGCTGGAGAACTGAGATGTAGAGATTCCGCTATCGCGTCTGTTGTAAAAGAAATCAACAGCGCATTCATTTTAAAAGACGAACATAAAACTGCAATTAAGGCATTTGTCGATCGGAAAGATGTGTTTGCCGTCCTTCCTATGGGATTCGGCAAACGTTTAATTTATCAGCTGGCTCCGATGGTAACTAAGAAGATGGGACGCAATGAAAACCCTGTGGTCGTTGTAGTTTCTCCTTTGGTCGCACTCAAGAGGGCCAAGTAAAAGAAGCAACACTCGTTCTTTTACTTCTTCCAGCGTGCGTGCATTTGAGTTCTGTAGTTGACAACTGTGCTATGCAAAGTAGTTGACTTACTGCGTTGCTCTGATTGGTTGTAGGTCTATCCAATTGAGTGCAGAGTTTTTTTTTTTCCTGGTTCGGTTAAGACACGCCTCATAATCAAAGCCCTATGAAGCAGTATCAGACTCACATTCTGACTAGAATATGAGTATGACAAAGTCAGGCTAATTCAGCCCCTTACAATCATGAAAAATCTATTCTAAAAGTCTGTTTACTTTCTGTGATTCATTCATTAATTTACAACAAAAAAAATTGTATATCTTTCATCAGAATGTAATCTGAATAATTTCTGAAACGACCATCTAGTATATAACACCCACTTTCACAGATAATTAGCGATCAGTTTAATCAAAATTATCATTATCATTATTAATCATAATCATTATTATTATTATTTTTTATTATTTTATTTATTAAAGTGCCTTGCACGTACATGCCCAGCCCAAATAGGCTTAAAAGACACTAATGACATAAAACAAACATAATACAAAAAAATGACCATCATAAAAATCACTTGAATCATCATGAAGTGGGAATTTTATTTTTTATTGCATTGCTGAAACGAAAACATCATGCAAATTAATTAAGTTAATTAATAGAAATGAACTGAAGTAAAATAGCCTACTTCCTTAAAACTTTGTCTTGAAACTCTCAACCAATTACTCTGCAAATGTAGTTCTCAGAGGTGTAGGATTTGTTATGTCAGACTGCAGATCACAATCTAAACTCAGATCTTCGCTTGCTATAATCCCGGTGCTGAAACAGTCCTTTTGCATGTTCGGCTCTCCAGAGGAGGGATTAGGTGACCCATGTGTGGGAAAAGAGGCACAGAGAGAGAGAGAGAGAGAGAGAGAGAGTAGAACCGCGCTTGACTCTGGCTAAACAAACCTGTTTCAATCCCAGGCTCCATGTGAGGCTGAATCTAGATATGTATCACACACTCAATGTGGGCTTGCTACTCAATAGTCGGCTGTAGTTTGATCTAATACATGTTTATTTGAAAATATCTATCAAGACTATCCAGGGCTGTGTTGCGAAATCGCCCCCTATACCCTTAAAATTTGAGGGAACAGACATTTGTAGTGGTGTCTGAAACCATAGTGGTTATCGAGTGCACCATCGAGTGCACCATAATGCACCACAATAACGAGTGTAAAACAATCAATCATCCATACATTTTCCAAACCGCTGGTCCAATGTGGCTACAGCATAATATCATACAGGTATAAATTACTTTTTAATTGATTATTAAATTGTTTAATTACGCTTTTTACATGCTAGTTTCCTGGAGCTGCCAGTTTGCTACGTTTCAATTAACATCAAGCACTAACTATGTAAAAGCAGCGGCCCTTCCGACGCACTGCAATGTCCGAATTCACGCACTCGTTTTCATTCACTCCTTCAAGTCGACTATATTAGTGGAGTAATGTGGGAATAGTGAATGGGGGGTATAGGGGGCGATTTGAACACAGCATAGGTCTTAAAAACGCCAAAGCTCACACTAAACCTCTCTGAAGCGGTATTCGAGGATAAGCGTATCCCATCATGCATCATGTTCAGGAACTTGTGCCCCGAAACCGTGAGATGTCGAGGAAAACAATCCACTCTAATTAAATTAATTAGATACATATAATTTGGCACCACAAATACTAAATCATCTGGTATAGCGACTACTGAACAGACATTTAGATGTTTATTTTCAAAGGCACGGTATTGAAAATCAAAATAAAGCATATCATGTAAGTTGACAAGTGGTCAAGTGCAAAGACCACAAGTGTGTGTTTTGGAAAGGCCCTGAATCACCTGGATTTGCTAACTAATAGGCTTTATGTCAAACGTCACAAACGGGAAAACAGGTCTCATCGCATCCGCAAGTCAGGGAAAGTGTTAGTTAGATTTGTTATAACTGGTTGCAGAC